GGCTACAGACCGAATCTTCAACACTTATTAATTGCTTTTCACTTGCTACAAAACTTTGAAAACTTGTAACATTATTAATTTGACTACTTAATTTATTGTAGGGGAAACATGCGTTAAATTCTGACGAGTCGAAAAAAGTTTGAACTGCCGAAGAACATTGTGAAGAAAGACTTGAAGTACTGAATTGAGAATATGATTTTGTGATTAAAGTAATAAAAGTAATAAAGAGATGTAAAATGAATCGAAAATATTTCATTTTGAATGTACTAAATTTTGTTGAAATTAATTTTATAATCAAATTCAGAACGTGGATAGAGCCTTTATAAATAATTATTTCTGTAATTTTAAGCTAAGGGGTTATATTCTTTGTAATCTTATTGTTACACGAATGATAATTTCATGGACTGGTAGATCTAAACATTTAATTTTTGCGTTACTTTATTAGGAAATTTAATAAAGAATGAAATTACTTATTTCATAAATAAGTAGAATAAAAAAAGCACAAAGGACTGGATAAAAAAATAATGAAATTGAATACTCATTTTATTTTGAAACACTTATTATATATATACACTCCTGTTTTTGCATAACAATTACCTTTTATTGAATACAAAAAATATTTACCGTTTCAGGTAAAGGTAAGCGATATTCAGAAGACTTACGGTAATAATTCTGAATATACTTTTACATTTCACTATTATGTTCGATTTAAAGAGTTGTATTAAACTTTTGAAACCATTTCATAAATAAGTCCTGAAAATGGTAATATTGTAATAGAGTCTGTTGCAGAATCTATGTATTCCTGTATTCCCTGTTAGGCCCCGATTCATAATTTGCCATTTATATTAGCATGTGATTTTATTTATAAAACCTCTCTTTAAAGTATTTACTTATTTTGCGAATAGATCAAACCAAAAAAGGAATTTAATTTTGCAAAATAAACTAAGTGCATAAAGAAAGAAGTCTAGATTTAGAACGTTAGTATTAGAGCAGATTATCATTACATGCAAACAATTTATGCTCTTTTTCTTCTTTCATACATGTTCGGATTATATGTAAATAATCTCACTTATAGACCATTCCTTTTTAAAAATTTGTATTTTATACATAGCGGTAGAACTCAAAAAAGTTCAATGCCAAAAGGAATAATGAGTATCGTATCGATATAGTATTATAATCCAAACATTTAGAAAAAATTTTTTTATATATTTTAATAATCGGTGAATATTTTTTTATATAGTAAAAAGCTAATATTTGATGGTGATTTTTTGTTAATAAATGAATTTAAGATGAATATTATATAGAATCGATTTAAAATTTATTTTTTATTACGTAATAATAAAAATATATCTTTAATACTATTGTTATATTTGAAGCAATTATATTTTATTTTATTTTGCTTTTTTAAAAAATAATTATAATTAATATCGAGGGTATTCAACACTGAAATGCTATATCTCAAAATCTACTAAGTAATTAATATTGAGGGTACTAAAACTTATAAAAACAATATCTGAACCATTATATATAACCCTTATCATAATCTCAAACTGTATCCTAACTCTAAATTTTAGTAAAAAAGTATTATAATAATAGTGATTGATACTAATAACTCCGGTATAAATATCATTTTTATCCTGAATATCCTTTTATTTCAAAATAAGTTTGACAAAACCTTCGCAAAAATTTTTTAAATTAAACATCATATTTCAGAGCAATTATTCTGTAAAAGAATTACTATTTTTAGCCTATGATACAAAAGTAAATTCTTAATACTACCTACAATATAAACGAACTTAAGTACTAGAGGAAATTTTCATAATAAATCGCAAATTTACAATTTTCAATAAACAAATCAATTTAGAATAGGATTAGGATTATTTCCACTTAAATATAAAAACAGTTGTAGGGACGCTTCAGCACTTGAACAAAGAACCTAGTGATCACATCACGTAAAATCATGCAATTACGTCATTTGTTACTAGCACTAAACAAATTAGCCTAAACTAACCTATTACTTAGCCCTAACACTAACCCTAATGTAGACTGATCACATAAACATGTGATGAGATTATTATGAAGATATCACTGATTTTCCAAACTAATTTGAGTGATATTACGTATTCTAAAATTTGTAACTGTCAGATTTACACATGTGATATTTTGTGATAGTTTCAAATATTTGTACAACAAATACGCTAATCAGATTATTTAATCATATCATCAAAACATCGTTTTTCTTTCTAGAAAACTCGATAATTTTAGTTGACAATGAGTTGACAATGAGTTAGTAATGAGTTTAACTGCCAGTATTCTTTTAAACTTATATATGTAATAATTGATTTTTTCTTTGGTTAACACTTTTTTAACAACTCCGTTTATTTTGCTTTGTATAGAAAAAACAAAACCATATACTATTGAAATAAATTATTATTTATTATTCAGAATACTTAAAAAAATATATAATATAATTCTTGTGTATTAATTATTTATTATCTATAAAGAAGCTATTTATTTGTGTAGAACAGTTTTTGCATTGTAATTAGTACTCGGCAAAATCAAATAAAAATTTGATAGTCAAATACTTAAATAATATTTGACGATCACAATTTCTAAATCGGGAGGTCGTCTAAAGCCAGGTAGTTTTTAAATTGATTACTAACGCTAACGAATTTGTAAATTAAAATCACGTGATGCATATAAATTACTACCTGGCTTTAGAAGCATGAAACATAGCGGGCTTTCATTCTTATTGGCTAATTTTTGTAGATCATCTGATGACGATACAAAATCTGATTGGCTAAT